CCTCTATTTTCAGTAATATGTCAAAATTAAGTTAAATTATTAAAGATGAAAATGATAAATTGTTGATCACTTCTTACAGAAACATAGTAAGGTCCAGCAAAGTCCCTTATAACACCAGACGACATTGCAATGCCCATGTGTCCAATAAATGGAAATATCCACCTATCAAAATAAACAGAATTAATGTAGACATCAACATGATTATTGATCTTGCAAAGTTCATGAGTGCCTCGAGAATCTCCTTCAGGGAAACCTACATTTAAGTTTTAGGATTTTTACAACATTCCACTGTAGATCATGACTTGATGTATCATAGTTTGCAAACTAAACAGTATTGTTATATTTTAGTATTTACCATATTACTGAAGCCCAAATTTTTTTCGGGCGATCCATACATTTGTTAAGACTGCGACGATCATATTCATTACGTAATTTATTCACTGCAGTTTGAGCCGTTACTTCATCATTTGTTTCCTAGCATGAATGGGTTCACTCAAAAAAATGACCACTAGCCAATATAGTTGACTTCATAGTTCAGTTGGTAGAGCACTGCTCCTGCATCGCAGAGGTCATGGGTTCGATTCCCGTTGAAGCCAGAAATGTTTTCAGGCGATCCATACATTTATTAATTACCGCTTAGATTATTATTTACACTGAAATGATCATTTAACTCATTACACGTATTACCATACCATATTAGTGGACTAAATCCTACATTCTGATTGGCTACTTACTCGGGGTCTATTTTCAGTAGTCCTCAATTAGTAAAAAGCACCAACTTTGATTTTCTTTTAGAAATATTGTGGGTCAAATCGATATGTTAATAAGGACTATTTTAAGTTTTTTCACTCAAAACAGCGTTTTTACCAACGTGAGTGATAATCACTTGTCAAACATTCGAACGCTGTTCAAACATAATAAATTACTGTATATTTAGTTACTATGGTTCAAACATTCAAATCTTCGGCGGCCTCTGGGCTATCAGCTCGTAGTCCACTCACCCTCGGGGTGTAATTGTTAAGTATTCCATAAGAATCGCTAGTAGTTTCACTCATCGGTTAACGAATTAACGATTAGAGTGATTAGAGGGAACTGACAAGTCGAGTGCGAATGCAAGCAGGCAACCTCACAACTATTTTAGGATTCTTTTATTAGAGTTATACTTACGTTAGAAGGGGAATTGGAGTCCATACAATGCAGAAAGGATATCTGTTCCGTTTAGGATCGACGTTTGGCAAACTATTGGTGTACTCCATGCTATCTGAATGAAGATATTCTTGATTATTGAATTCGTCCATGATCAGTCGGCCATATTGTTTTGATTTCCGTACATTTTGGGCCTGCTGTGGTAAAAACAGGGATCCCAATAGACCCTTTGCAGCTGGGGTCACATGACCATTAAATCAAGTTCAAGTGTCAACACTAAATATTTCAAAATAGATAGCAAATATAAAATCTTTTTTTTTTTTTTTCATAAATAAACGTATGCCAACGGAACTGGAGAGCAAGGCTTGCTCCCCAGTCTATTTTCCCATACGTTTCATTTAGATCAACATTTTACATTTGCTGCAGTCATTTTTTAAGTATTTAGAGTTGAGGCTTTGCCATTTTACCAACATAAACCTGCTTTTTTCACGGATAGATTTAAGGTAGATGTGTTCACGTGACCCCAGCTGCAAGGGGCCTATTACAAAACAGCAGCCTCGTTCCTATTTTGAATCCCTGGGCATGGAAACGAGGTTGTTTCTATTGAGACCGTTTTAGATAGAAATAGTAGGAATTGTGCGTTTACACTTATAAAAGTCTTCTTGAAATTTGTACTCTACGCTTGCGTCGCTAGTCGAAATCCAGGCTTAAAATATTCGGAATACATATGTCTAAATGTTTTATTTCTTAATAAAAAACACAGAAACATTTGCATATAATTGTTAATAGTATCAAATTATGAACATGTTGTTTAGTAGACTATACACTTCAAGCCTGAATGGGCTAATAGGCTCCTGTTAATTCACATAATTTTCGTTCTTTTTTAGCTCATTTCTCGCGCGCAAATATGATTAAATGATATTTTTATTAGTTGTTTATTAACAGCTATGTTTTTCAAATTCGTAAATTTAAGCGCAGTACTATATTAACTGGAAAAGAACACATAGAAAATGAAAGTGTTCACTCGAGTACATTGGTGTTTTATTGCAAAGGAATTTGTTGCAGCTCGGCATCTTCATTGTGGAGAAAATCGTCGTTTACCGGAAGGCTGTCCAGAAATGCATTTATACGTTGTTGCAAATTTTGATCCATATAAGCACCGTCGCTATTCTTGGGACTCACGGACAAGCAACCAGTTTGACTTGTTTCTTGACTCGAGTTCCAACGCGCTTGAGTCTCTTGAAATATCTCAGGCAGCCCAGCCTTTGAGCTTGATATCGGCAGTCCAGAAATATTGTGAAAGTCTTTCTCTAATGGGCTAGCAGTACGACCTAACTGAGGGCACGAAAACATTCGTGCTACTTTTTGATGACCTGCAATAGTACTGATGGGTACAGTTTTATCTGTTGAACCTTTTCTGATCAAAACTGGAGTTGAATCAGGGCTCATGACACCAAGCTTTCGTTGTCTTCCTGCAAGAGTCGGAGAAAAACCATTTGGTAAAGTAGGCGAAGTCCCATAACTTGCAAAGGTTATTCGTCGAACGGGTATAGTGTGCCTGTCGTTGCCACCCATTACTGAAGCTAAATTATCAGCGCTTATAGTTCGCTTCATAGTTGCATTTCGCTTGTGAAACAGCTTAATTGATTCGTTWGTATTCTTGTCTAAATTATCACTGCTTCTACTCTTAATTTCAGTAAAGCGTCGAACAGGAGACGGACTTGTGACCCGGTGCGTCGGTATACCATCAGTGTACATGGGCTCCAAGTCAGCACTTCCACTTGAGATTTTATGGCGCCTKGAAAGAATACGTTTGAYTGGCTCTTGWATTCCATCTCGTAAARCCGGAAAGTGGGATRAGGTRMTGCCMGAATCTAAAARTAAACAAAATGATTTTTAGCGCAATCAGTTTTTAAAACATCATTATATTAAAAACGTTTGAATAAAATAATGGATTATTAGCGAAACTTAATTCCTGATGTTTCACGCGCTGAAACAGCGGACATATCGTGATTTGATTCAGTACGCGCGACAGGCAATTTGCAGCGTTAGTTTTACATTTTCTTTCCCTGYGAATATTTGTGTTAGCTTAGAAAATGAAAGAACTCACTAGCTAGTAGGACTGTTGTAGTAGATATAAAAAAAATACGAGGACCGTACAACTACCATCATGCTTTGCTGTACAAAATGGCGTCGCTGCACATTGAATAGAAACACCCACGCGAATGAAACGCGCCCAATTGTACCGAAAACCTTTTCGRCAACTTGCTTTGTTCTAAAAATGATCTGCTGATGAAAATTTTTGATTCTCATTATTTCAAAATCAAATTTTAAAGATGGCGAATTTTCGTATCTAAGAAAGAACGCGCAAAGGATTTCGATGATRAACATGGGCCTTCCAAATGATAATGAACACTTTGTTTACAGGTTGAACGCATCGAGGAACTTCGCATTCAAACTAACTGTTCTTTTTTTGCCTCTGTGCTAGCACAAAACATAAATAAAATTCATTGTGCATTTTATGCCTAACATCTACTGCAACGAAAAAAAACTCTCAGCGTATATCAGAAATATTTAACTTCTATTGCGAAAACCAAGTTTACGCAAACAATAGGAAATTGTTGTATTGAATTGAATTGTAGTCATTGTCGGTGTCTTTTGGCGGTTTTCAGCCTTTAGTATCATAAACTTATCCATAATTTAATAATTCATTGAGAAATACCATKATTTCCTTTTCGGATCCTTTGATTCATTAAAAGACAAGATAAACAAGAGATTTGATTGTTAGGACTTGTGTACGTGAAATTAGGTTGCCCCTACGTGATGATGTCAGACTCTTTTGTTTAAATCCTCCAGAGTGACCAAAAGAAAACAAAAGAGTTGGGCTAATAAACTATCTAAAGACACCCGATCAAATGAAAACAGAGATTTAGTATATGCAAAAAGCTCGACTTACAAAAACTAGCAAAGTTTGGGCTAATTATGTTCATTTTTGAATTAGGCGAAGTGTTGCTTTTTTATGTGAAAACGTTTTGTTAGGTTCCGAAAATTATCATGTTGATATTTATGCAATTTTTTTTAGTAAACTTCTGCAATGTAATTTGCTTAAACGATAAAAACATACGAATATTAATAGCGCTTTCCATCGGATAAACCCTTATCCTCTAGACCAAATCCAAATAAAATCTATAGAAAGATTACCTTTATCCACTCCTGGTAAAACGACTGATATGAGAGCTTGGGACATTATTAAAGAATTATCTAAAACAATGGAATAAGCCCAGTGAAAAAATGTATTCAATTACATAACATCACGACTTCACGGCAGTTTCTTTTTTGATAATTATTTCACTCAATTATAAAATAAATTTGTAAATTTAACAATCGAATTGRCCATCTGATCGCCCSATGACATGCAATCCGGAGCGTCCCTGAATTCCGGATTACAAACTTCTTGGATTCTGGATTCCGTGAAAAACTTCGCAAGGATTCCAGCTGGATTCCACCAAATTGGATTCAAAATGAAAATTTTAGCTTATTAGTAGACTATTCGCAGTGACTCGTTTACAATTAGAAAAATATGAAGTCATATAAAAATTTGGAATCTGACAGATTGCGGACTCCAAGTTTTGCCTGAATGCGAATTCCGTACCATGATGCGAAACTGACTGAAGACTGTTTATTTTCAACGCTAATAACTTTTTGCTTCTCAAAATAAAAGAATAGTAAATAAGCTTGAGTTCTAATAGTGCTTGTMATATCTATTTTATACTATCCGCTAAATATATTGAAACAATAGTGCTAAAAGACTTTACCGTCAATAATCAAAGCAAGAAAACTAACGTATCAGATTTTCCCGCCTTCCGCTCCTAACGTCCGAAACTTTATAAAGTTTTTTCTAGTTTTTTACGGAGTATAATCTGTCATTTTGTAAAGCCGCTAATTGTTCGTGAGAAACTCCAACGCACTGTTAGTATATCACAAACGTTGGTTACTTTATTACTCTGGCGTTAGAAGTACAGATAAACGGATTATAATATCGTTTTTCAAGCAGTATTTTACTAACCTGTATGCGAGGGCTGCTGGCGARMTGACTTCTCGTAGTTGGTGTTGTTTTTGTTGCTGTTGACACAGAAACTTTCATCGTGCTTTTTCGTGTTTACACCATCGCTAGAGGGTCCACAAAGATCAACTACTTCGAGCGTTGAGGKTGAGTTATGTCTTCGTAAGTTTGCAGTCTCCTTYAATGACACATGGATGTCCTGGACTTCATTCGCTATAGCACTTAAAGATCTTTGTCGTTCTTTCTCGATGCTTCCCAAAGCTGATTTTAGAAGTCTGTCTTCTCGGCAGTTTAATCCTCTAGCACTATTAGGTGTGAATGAAAGTTCTTTTCGCTTGTATCTCAACACTGCTATAGTTTCCATCTTATAACGACATTTAAAAA